CAATTGTCACTCTACGTTTTTGCCTTCTCTTTACAACGGGGTTTCGGGGGCGATCAATCGATCTAGATTGTTTTTTTGTTTTTTTTTTTTAATATTTATTCAAGTTTTTTAGTTAAAAAAAAAAAAGAAAATTGTACTTTAGGCCAAAAACACCTAATAATTACGCCCAGGTACTTATTATTTCAATATGCAAACTTGTTATAGTGGTACTTGCGAATATTTTTTTTAAATACAATGTGAAAATATGTTTATAATAAAATACTAAAATTAATGATATTACATTTTGTATGGGGTCTTAAACTAAATATTTCTAAAAAACTTGAAACCGGATTAAAATTCTAATATCTTTTTATCATTGTACGTTGGAATCCCTCTAAAGTAGGGTCAAACTGGTTATATTTGTACAGCATCAAATCATTTTGCCGTTCTAAAGCAAAATTATATAGAAAGCGTAGTTAAACGTACATAGTGTACGAAATTAAGCAGACAGCAGCAGAGTATAACGCGAATATATTGAAACTAAAAGTGTTATCGCAATTATCCACTTGGCCATGCTTATCGTATATTAAACAATATTTCTCATCGACACACTGAGCATGCTCCGATAAAAGACAATAGAAAACTTTAACATATATATATTATAATAAATTCAAAGTTGTACGAAAATAAATTATATATGTAAATGAGTGACCCGCCCTTGCTTCTTGTATTCGACATACGCAATCTGACGCATCTAAATGAAAAATAGTCTATGACTCTTTCCGGCCAATAAACTCAGTGCAAAAAAAATCACGACATTTCATTGCTGCGTAAATTGGACTAACCAACAAACTTTTGCATTTACATTATTAGTATATAATTTATAAAAAAAATGAGATATTTTAAATATTTTAATAACATTTTAAATGTTTACAATATGTATTTTCGATCTTATGGAATAAGCATGTAGATTGTAGGTTATCAGAATAGTTTATATTGTACAAAATGTATCCTTTGTCTTTTAAGTTTAAACTTTACATGAAATATGTACATATATCTTAGATACATATAAAGACAACAAACAAGTCTCTATGATATGTTTTTTTTTAGATAGCATAAGTATTTTTGTTATATCTATTAAGCTCGTGACCTGTTTTAATGGAAACACCATCAATATTTTTATTTTATTTTATAACTAGCATTGCCCGCGGCTCCGCCCGCGTTCAGATGCCCAAAAACCAAATTCTTAGGTTTTACATATTGGTATCCTCTTACATTGCAGTTTTTGTATTTTTTCTCAGAAATGAGACATTTTCCTGCGGTAAAAAGTATCCTATATGATGACCCCGATAACCAGCTATCACCATACCAAATTTCATCAAAATCCCTCCAGGCAGACAGACGAAAATTCTAAAAATTATAGATTCGGCCTCTATATCGATTAATAATGTTTATTTTAATAAGATTTTTCGAAAAATATTTAATGTACAGATTCGGCTTAATTATAATTTTATTACATGTATAGACTAATAGTTGACTAGAATCAAATTTGTTCAATGTAGTTTATAAGAAAACAGAATAACGGTTGTCTGACGAATGTAAACTAAACGGAAAACTAGTGCAAAGATGAGCAAATGTACAAGAACATGATCAACGCAAGTACCCCAACTATAATCGTCTTATTAAAGGTGGAACAATTTTTTCAGTACAAGGTTAACGACACTTTTTCTAGGTAGATGTAGGTAAATTTTATTTATTGTTATCAAAGCTAAAAAGATAACAGGATTTGTTTTACACTTTATAAATAAAATTGAAGTCTCTGTGATTTAAAAATATTTAGCTTATTTATATGTCTGTTTGTACGTGGAACTTCCGTGGTACCTAGCGGATACGTAAGAGATGGGCTAATACTATTCCTTGTGCTTGGTATTTCTTTATATAGGTACTAGCATTGCCCGGGGCTTCGCCCGCGTTCAGATGACCAAAAATCAAATTCTTAGGTTTTACATATTAGTATACTCTTACTTTGCAGTTTTTCAATTTTTTCTCAGAAATGAGATATTTCCCCGCGGTAAATAGTATCCTATATGTTGACCCGGATTACCAGCTATCACCATACCAAATTTCATCAAAAGCCCTCCAGTGATTTTTCTGTGATGCGGTAATAGACAGACAGACTAAAATTCTAAAATCTATAGAATAGGCCTCTGTATCGATAATAATGTTTATTTCAATAAGATTTCCAAAAAATATTTAATGTACAGATTCGGCTTAGTTACAATTTTATTATATGTATAGATATACTGGTTTAACATCGATTTGATCGAAAAGGACATAGCCTAAATATTTTTATCCCATCCACAGTAAAACAAAAGGACTGAAGCATAGAAGTTTTATAATTTTTTTGGCACTTCGTGCAAATCGATACGAAGCAAGGGTGGGCTGCTAGACGTACCTATTATAAGAAATCTTTCACGCTGCAAGTGTTGGACGAATTTGTATAAAAAGTACACAGATATACTAAACTCGGATAAGCGTAGGCTACTTTCAGGCATCCAGGGTAATTCTCTAATATAGAAATATATAGGTAGGGTTTGTCAGACTTTTATAGATTTACTTTCGTATTATTTTTTGTTTGTCTCTGGTTTTGGTTGATTTGAGATTTCCGTTTATAATTCACTTTTAGATTTATTAAGTAATAATAAGCGAAACTAGCACATAGTGTTTATCTTTAAATGATTTTACATACTCTGTGCATGTAATGTAAATTGTAAATAGTTTAAGAAATATTAATTATGTAAAATCGCTGGTAGACCCAATAAATAAATATAAATAAATCTCGACTTCTGAATGTTTGTGTTATCGATCTCATCATCTTACTATTCATTTTTATTAAATAAAAATAAAAAAAGGCTATTTTGTTTTAAAGATCAATTTTCTAACGCGTAGAAAAGTTATTATTATAAATAGGGGTTGACATCGTTCACACGCCTGAAAGACCGCCGATAGCCGATGGGCTGTTCACATACGCACCGCTGGCAGCTGATGCTCACGGACTATCTCCACTATAAATAACCGTGGTATACGCGTGGATAAGCCTTTACGAGATCTTTATGTAGCACTAAGCTAATACGTTAAGTACTTTAAAACAATAATTTTTAGTGTGCCATATAAAGTATACATTTAAATTTTATTCGATACCTTATTACCCAGCTTTTTTAAAGAAACCGTAAAAAAATTATCATATCTTTTATCAAAATTTTACTTCTATTTAAATTCAAATAAATGTTACTATAATTAAATTCAACATTATAATTCAAACATTAAACTAAGTAGCTTTTTAAATATTCGTGTAAATCTAATAAGAAAGTATTATGTCGCTTATATAAAATTTAGGCTGTTTATATACATACATATGTATTGTTTATTATGAAGTTTTTATTATTATATATTAACAATCTGTGCCAGATTAAAAAGATTACAATTGTATAAGCAAATATTTACTATTTTTAATATTCAGGACAGAAAAGGTAGTTTACCATTCGGTTAATTCATTGTGACGTATTTCGCGATAGTAAAATCAAACACATTAGTTGCGCTTTCTAGTGGTACCTACAGTTTGTATGAAATAAGAGAATTATTTCAGAAATCAGCTTTAATAATGACTCCATAGTTAATTTTCTATGGTTACATAATAATTATTTTATACTAGCAACTCGCTCTCACTTCGCTCCGGTTCGTCTTTAAGCGATTCTTTAAATTGACATAACTTCTTAAATAAAGGTCTAAGAAAGTGTTATTTAACTTAACTTTTTTATTTATAAACCGATTGAAATAAAACAAACCAGATGTTAAGTGAAGCTTACCGAAATACATTAGTGAAAATCGCACTCAAATCGGTTAAGCCGTTTCTGAGATTAGCGCGCACAAACGAACAGATAAACAAACCCTAAAAATCATGTTTTGGGATCTATTGCGTTAATAAAGACCCCCAAAAATAGTTTTTCTGGTATAGGTATCTGACCTTACATGTATAGACAGCAATCAGTTACACTTTTATTATATGTATAGATTTCTTAGAAAAGTTGAATTATGTATGGCGTAGGTCTTTAAAGAAAATCAAAATAGATTAAAATAACATTTCGATTTTAAAAAAATATCATAATAGTTACATTGATACAAGCCCCAAAGATTTTGTTGGATGTTCATTTACTTTTTATTATACATTCAAGAGTGGTTAACGACAAGATCTAATCAAAAGGCCGATGAGGTCTCCAGATTGACAATTAATTGCTTTGCTCTAAGCAAAATAACCATTATATTAATTTTCTCACATTATAATCTAAGTGTTGATTATATTTTACAAAATTTTATCAGGAAAAATTGGTATTACTAAAAAAGTGCTGTATGGATATATAAATTATGTAATATATAATTGTTCTTTATAATGCATTTGATTAATGATTAATTCTACTACAAATCATTAAAAATCTTATCCTGTTTATAGTACAACATGTTTTAACAATGAAAATATTTGCAAATATGTAGTATAATTATATTTATGAGTAATAATCTGTTATTGTTAAAAAAAATCTTATCATTATATATTATCAATAACAAAAAACCTTAAAATTATATGTCATGAGGATTAAAATCTAAAATGGGCTGGCTAACTTTCACTTAAGAGAAAACTTCTTTGTTATTTTCTTTTTATTTTTAAAGACAAGATAGAATGATTGTAGACAAAATAATTTTTAACCAATATCATGTATTAGTATAATTTTCAAAAGATTTGATAATATCAAATACATAGCAGATTTCTTATTATTTATATAGATTCAATTCCAACATGTATTCATTATTGTAGTTATACACAAATATGACACTGTATTGTAATAAACAGCCTATAATATATTACTTAAATGTGAAATTAACATACACCTATTATTTTATGGACAGAAACTATAAAAATGTATTTAACTTTATTATTCTATACAAATGAAATAAACACTGTTACTTACCATTTGGCCCATATTTCTCTTGATTCCTTTTGACTTGGTCTGGGCTAAGCCCTTTGTCTTGGTCCGTGCCAAAATATTTTAAGACTTCATCCACGGTTTTCGTGTGAGAGTCCTCCATGGTGAAATTTCTACGTTGCCGTCAGTTCTAGAAGGCAAAAAAGAATATAGGTTAGAAAATGACAAGTCATCATCATTAAATCAGAGGTTATGAAGTTACGTTTAATAAAAATATTATTTGATTAAGAGTATAACATTAGACTGTATGAGTTTTATCGCCTAATTATAACAATAATTTTATAAATGTTAAGATAACCTAGTATATATATTTTTTTCAAATGATTGTCATTTGTTAAATGGTGTCTTATGACAAAAATTAATCTTAGGTCGTAAGTTTTTTAATGCTAATTACTATAGAATGTTTGATAAAAAAGATATTTCAAAATTAACGCAGATTAATTTAGTAAAGATTGGATTAACTAGGTATTTCCTACATTAAAGCACCGTTGGGTCAGACCAGTACACACTCACCGAAAACTTTATTATTACATGAGCAGATAATGTCTTAACGAATATTTCACTAAATGTAAAAGTCTGATTTAATTTATTTCGCAGTTACAACTAAATTTTGTACTAAGGTAATACTTTTTTCTCGTAAATATCATAAACTACACCAACACGTATCCAATCCAGCCGTCATTTTTTCCTAGACTGACGTAAAAAGGAGATGATTATAACGCCATCTGGTATTCAGGTCAAAAACGAATGTTATCAAATATTAAACTTTTTAAAGTAATTTTGTTTAGTATTCAAGATTAAATTAAGCGAATAATGCAGCTATCGAGATATTTATAAAAAATACGAAACTAATATAATTTTTAGCATTATACTGCTTAATTGAATTTACGGTACTTAATAAATGTGGTGCACTACTATAGGTCGAAAGTGTACCACGTGACAGGGTGTTATTTTTATGTCCTAGGCGCCTAGAAAGTGCGGTATTTTTAAATTTACGAAATAGCTTTATAAAACTCTTTGCGTTATGTAACACTATCACTATATATATTATTTTCCACTAATTCTCCAGGGATGGCTTGAGGCTTGAGCACTTAATCTCACATAATATTGTAACACTGATGTTTGATCCGTTTTTAGAAGTATTAGGAACTTACTGAACTATTTTATTCGACAGCGTCGGGAAGGAAAGAAGAAATAAAAGTGACGCGGGAGATGTTTTCCCGCCGCGCCCCGAGTAGCGACTCCCGGGCAAAGAGCGACGATTTTAGAGCGGCGCGGGCGCAGCGGAGGGACATCGACGGAGATTTCTTTAATTATTTTGGCAACAGTACTAGATGGCACAGTCAAATCGCTTTCCAGGGTTGCATGTCGCGCGGCTGCCGTTGTCGGCCGCCCTATGTTGATCTTTTTATAGCGGCGGCAGCCCGGCTCGAGCTCCCGGTTCTTTTCAACAGCGCGATTTTTGTCTTAAATTGAAAATTAAAATCAATACAGCCGCTTGAAGTTACAATAACGTTTAAGGTCCTAAAAAGAAATATTGCTGTCAGCTTTTTTTTTATAAAATTACGATAACTTATGCATAAAAGTATCGTTCCCGGCCTACAAAAACTCGGCTCATGGCCAGGGGCTTGCGTGACCCTTACCTTGATAATATAGATATAGTTGTTTTTGATTTATAAATATTTTTTAAATTGATACAAATCAAATCGGTCCATATCTAATAAAAACATATGGTTTTTTATATTCATATTAGTACAATGTTTTTGAAAAATTACCCACGTATTATATAATGACAATGGTAATTTTTAATTTCTGTTGATATTTGTTGAAAGTGAAAATTCAAATCGCTCTTTCCTTCAATTTTATGTATAAAATCACCTGTAGGTTGTGTTTGCTTGTTTTGTAATTTTTAACAATTTGTTTCATATAGCAATGTAAGGTATATAATTATTATTGGAGCGCAGCCGACAGTTCGACATTGGTTTGTGATCCGTTGCTGGCAAGATGGGCTGGCCTTTGACAATGATCTATATCATTGAATAACTCACGTCAAGACAGGCATATATATCATAGATGGATGGGTTAGTTATGTGTCATTATAATTTCATCAAATTAATATATACTTCTGAGAATATTGTTAAGAGTGGTTTCATCATATTACATGGTGATTGTAGCAAATTTTGCAAATAAAAAGGAGGTGGAGCAATAATAAGGTTAGGTTTGAACCTAGAGGTTAGAAAATTTTTGAATACTTATTTATATTAAAGAAAAATAGGGAAAGCAGAAGTTTTTTTTTAATTTTTTATTAGAATGTGTGTTTGTTGAAAATGTTATGTAAAAATAAGTGTAAATACAAAAGCTGTAGATCTTTTTATTACCTACAATTTTGCTATTTAACTTTTATCCATAGGACTTGTAGTTTTGCCGGAAATCGAGATAAACCGTTTTTTACCCTTAAAAACTCACTCCCTCCCACTTTCCGACTTCAGATCGCCCGTAAATTATTTTTTCTTTCATTGTTGTTATATTTTCTTCCTTTTCCAATGGGTTTCATCCCAATATTATTTTTTTAACTTCTTAGTCCTAGTCTATATGTCGCTACTGAGATTATTCACCTGGTTAATCTATAAATCTATACAGATAAATAAAATTGTAGTGTCTCTTTGTTATTACAAAATAACAGCTTTTTACTAAATGCATATAAAATTAGATACGTTACTTATAAGAAAAACACAATTTTTAAAAATTTTGTCTGTCATCTGTCTGTCTGTTTGTTCTGGCTAATCTCCGAAACGGCTGGACTGATTTTGACGGGACTTTCACTAGCATATGGTTGATGTTATCACAAGTAACATAGGCTACTTTTACTTAAGAATAAGAATTAGGGTCCCGTTCAAAAAAATTAAATCGTACCTAGAGACCCTAGTGTAAGATATAGACAATGCAGTATATTGGTAATAGGGCGGTATTTTTCATAGTGCCCCAGGGCGGCACATAGGATAAATCTGGCTCTGCCCAGATAACCAGTTATCACTATACCAAATTTCATCAAAATCCCTCCAGTGGTTTTTTTATGATGCGGTAACAGACAGACAAATATTCTAAAAACTATAGATTCGGCCTCTGTATCGACAATAACGTTTATTTCAATAATATTTTCCAAAAAATATTTAATGTACAGATTTAGCTTAGCTACAATTTTATTATATGTATAGAATAGCAATCTTTTAGATGCCAAAATGATTAGAAAATATTTGCAATACGGTATTGCGGTGGCTAAAAAATATAATTTATATAATACTAAAAGAACCCGCGGCTTCACTGGCGCTAAAACCGCAAAAAAGGTAGGTACCTAGGTTTCATACAAACTTTCATCGCCTATTTTACCCCTTTATAGGATGAATTGCGAAAAATGCTTAAACACGTATTTATTTATTTGTATTGAAGAGCATTAATACCAATTTCAAGTAATTCTGATCAGAAATATTTTTTTGGATTATATTATAACGTGTTTTCCCGTGGGAATGAGATAATCTCCTGCGATAAAAAGTAGCCTATGTCACTCTCCAGCTTTTCAACACCAAAAATCATGCCAATTCCTCACCAATAATACCTAATAATAATAATAAATACCACCCCCAGGGTGGAAAAAAAAGGTAATGATGAATTTAACCTACTTTTCATTGTCATGTATTCAGCCCTTTTTTAACGTCCCACTGCTAGGCTCGGGCCTCCCTTGGCAGACTTCACATGTCTTTCGAAAACTTGCTAGGTTCTTTCAGATATGCAGGTTTCCTCACGATGTTTTCCTTCACCGTAAGACAAGTGGTAATCATGTTATAAATAATTCGGACAAGAAAATATCAGAGGTGCGAGACCCGAGATTTGAATCCGCTTCACTCGGTTTCCTATGCGAGCGCGTTACCACTGGGCTACCACTGCCTTCAATTATAAATTATTGTTATATTGGCTTGAAATTTTGCAAGTGTTTCTATATCCGTTCATAGTGCAGTGGTTCGGTATCGTTGACCTGATCTGATGGTAAGGCCAGAAAGAAGGTGGATAGGTGGAACTCTTCAACGGCTAATAGTAGATACTTTGAGATTGGGCTTATTTTGTTTGATTTGACAAGCCAAATACGTTAGAATCGGATTTTAGTGCCAGAATTTTTAGTGTTACTAATAATAGCAAATTTTACTTTGTCAGTCTTCATATAAAAATTGGCATCAAACAAACTAACTTAAACGGTTTAAGCGAATATTTTATTAGTAAAAAGGGAAAAATAAAAATTAAAAAAAAAGACTAAAAAGTATATGCTTTGCTTTGTATCGGATGGCGCTGACTTCAAAAATATCTGACTAGGTATCTATAGTAAATGAAAACTACCAATCAGTTATTATTTACTTTTTAGTTTGTAGTGCTTTTGAAGTCGGGTTTTTTTTAGTTTTTATGTATTACCTTTATCGTATTTTTCCCTTCATTCTCAAAATCATTTTTTTTTCGATCTCTTCAATAAGACTTATCAGAATAATTTGAGCCATTTCATCGTTGGTTAATAGCAAATAATTTAATGCAAAGAAATGATGTAAATATTTAATTAAAGGAGTACGAAATTCTGTACATATCTAATGACGGGAGAAATGTCAGCCTTATGCCCGAAGAACTTGAATATATTTAGTGAGTGAAAATAGAAAATCACCGAGAAACAGCTGAATGCCAATGTTACCATCTATTTTTGTGTCTGGAATAAAAATGTATTAAATGAAATATAAACGCTCGTGAACAGATTACTGCCGAGCATATATGTTCTAATGACATCATTTCGTTTTCAAAATACATGAAATAGATGTAATATTTATTACGTACGTTTTATATTCTATAAAATGACGTTGTATGTTGATAATATTTTTAATTAAACCGATAATTTATTTTTATTGCATCAAAATAGCCATATTGCATGTTGAGTTAACGATACTTAATAAATATATTATATTATGTACAACAAATTGCCGTCTGGTATACCTAAATAGAGTCGTAGCTCTATGTAAATATTTACTTTCAATAAATATTAATATAGTATGTAAGAATAAAAGATAAAAAATC